AGTGTTTTGTGTGTGATGTAGTAGGTTCAATTTCAATCAAAATGGGTCAAAATTCCTTCAGATTTACAGTTCTTTTCTTACGCTCCAGGTTCGCTCCATCAGGAGGAAAATGGTGGACATTATGACCAGGGAGGTGTCTTCAAATGACCTCAAAGAAGTGGTCAACAAACTGTAAGTTGATGGCTTATTGGCTGGTTCCTTGTATTGAACACAGAAAAGCCAGACTTAAGTCTTGTATTATTGTTATTTTGAAACTATGCACTGTGTATATAAATCACTGTGCATTTTAAATCTACTTTAATTCTTTTATTTTGCGTTGCACTGTTCAGGCACCACTCATTGTCCGGAAGTCTCTTGTTTTGGTTAATATTTCATCACATTTTTCTCCACTAGGATCCCTGATTCCGTTGGCAAGGACATAGAAAAGGCCTGCCAGGGCATCTTCCCCTTGCATGATGTGTACATTCGCAAGGTGAAGGTGTTGAAGAAGCCCAAGTTTGATTGTAAGTGTTTATCAAGAATGAAAAAAAAATTAATTGCTGTTGTAGGCAGTTTGCTTTGTTGCATATTGTAAATTAATTGTATGCCAAATAAAGTAGACCAGCTATTATAGTCAACTTATTTTAACAAATACAATAGACTCCACATATCACATCGCTTCAAAATGAATTTTTTGTTCATCTCAAACAAATATTGTTGACAGATTTTTTTTTCGTTGGTATTATTTCCGTTTGCACAGTGTTCCCGAGTATTGAATTGTCTTCTGTAGTTGAAAACTGGTGACTGATTGACTTTTGTAGAAATTGTATTTACAGTGTAAGCCATTTCAGTAGCATTTGTTTTGCTCGCCATTGATCAGCAATTTGAAGTGCTGCACCGGTCTTTTATATTTATCTCTAAATATTTCCAAGGTATCAGTGAAATTTTCTTGAAATCTTCTAATTTCAACTATTGATTTTTTTCTTCTCAGTGGGTAAATTCATGGAATTGCACGGAGAAGGCTCTGGTACAAAAGTCGTCACTACTGAAACTGGAGAAAAGATTGAGAGGCCAGACGGATATGAACCACCAGTTTTACAGTCTGTTTAGGCTGTTTAATTATCTCAATAAGAACATTAATGATGCAAACATAAGAATGAAGAGACTTCCTGTTTCCCGAATTCTATGAATGATGTAAAAGAGTATCTTAATACATCAGGAATAAAAAAAAATTGAATAGAGGATATTCTGACTTTTTTGATATATTGACGTACACAGTTGCATAAAAAAAGATGTCCAATATAGTGTCTTTTTGTTTAAAAATTACAATGTTGCTGCCGTAAACTTTAAATAGTGCTTTAAAGTTTAGATACCATGTGTAACATCTGTGCTACAAATATGCGGACATCGGCGTAGATATACACGTTCTTTAAAAAATCAAATTTTGAACCTAACTCCCCCGAAATATGACTTTAAAAATACCCATGTAAGGACCATTTTCCTCCAAATGTCGCCAATTTTTACCACGTACTGCAGCGTGCACCTCAATTTGTCCGTAGTTGCCTGATCTCATTAGTATCAGAGCTCGAATATGGTTTTTATCCTCGGAACATTGCGTCTGCAAGAAATCAGTACTGTGAGCATGCGCGTCATGTACTCTGTACTTGCTACTGTAGTCGCCCTGAAAATGGAATGAATTTGGGGGGAGGGGGAAGAGATAGAAAAATTAGATTTGGATGAACATTGTCTTATGTCAGTTCCATGTGGATGAAATGTATTCTCAGTTACAATTTCTGATCATTTGTTTACCCGCAAAAAGGGTTTTGACACAGGTTTTCAGTATCCAACGGAAGGCTCGCCAAGGAGGATGCATTAGCTTAGCACGTATTTTATGGTCACGTATGGAACGAAAACCCCCAAGATACATACTGGGTAGTTACCCTTGTTTCTTGTCTTTACATGCCAAAAAAAAAAAAGGAAAAATGTCAAGATTCACTTACCGCTCAGTGTACTTTTGTTTAACCCTTTCGGACACAATATCTTCTGATCACTGTATGCCGTCGCCGTTCTACCCATCTGTTCGCTCTATAACAAAACCATATTTTCTTTTATTTGAAATTAACTTCTTGGCTTTGTTTGATAAAAAGAAAAATCGGGAAAACAGGATTCAGATAATCATTTCATCAGCTGTGCAATATGGATAGCCTTATTCCTTGATGAAGATGCTCTAGATAGACATCGAAATATTGGATCTTAACACTATTTCAACATTAGCTGTTGACTCAAGAAAAATTTACTATTTTGAAATTAGGGCTTAACTGTTTACTGGAATGTACCTGTTTATGTTTCAGGGAAAAAAATGAACCATGGATATGACTTTTTTTCTGTTAAGTGTCAGTATATTTGCCAATTTAGTTTTTTCGGTCTTATATTTGTTTCACCTCCATTGTGACAATGTCGCAAGTTTTAATATGTACTGAAAATGATTGCTTTATATTTTCTAGAGAATATCACCTCTAACACAATATCATTCAGTAGACCTTTTTTCAACCAAAGCGCGTTACATTTCGACGATGCAATCTGCCTTCCTTTGTACACATTCACGTGATTTAAATTGATTATGATTTTTTGATAAGGGAAGAGAAAAACTTAATTGAGTCTGTAATAAGCATCATTTTAACTAAAGCCAATAAACATTACTTTGTCACCCGTATCAGAGTATGAAAAAATCCAGAAAATGAAATCGGACAATTTTCAATTGTTTTTAGATCATTATATACTCCAGTTAGAGGAGAACATGTAGTATTGGAGGGTCTATCTGTTAAGGGTATTTTCAACACCCTACTGATCATAACCATATTATGAAAAAAAAGGAGGAAAAAAGACTATATTCAGGAAGGGGTAAGGGCGTTCAGTTCCCAATCATTGCAAATACTCTATAAATCTATATATGTTCAGGTAAACTTGCAGAAAAATATCACTATATGTGCAGGCCTTGGCAGACCAGTAAAAGGAAACGCAACAATTTGTACATGCTTCCGTACTATTGTCAGACACACAAGGAAATGAAGAACTAACAATCCATTTGTCATCGTTTGCTACATTATTTGATTATTAAATACGAACAAAATAAGTTAATAATATTCTCCAAAATGGTTTTATTAGTAATATATAAAGTATTGATTGAGATGTTCTGAAATTGAATTGGCTTCATGTTCAAAATAATAGATTTATGGGTAACTAAATGCAAATTAAAAGGAAAGTGAAACAGGCCTGGTAGAATGAGTGAGGCGTTCGAAAATCTCCATTAATTACCGCACATAAAATTTGAAAAGCACTAATTGTCACTAATGAATCTGCACCCCCCCCCCCGTCCTCGCCCCTCACCCCTATCATTCACTTCATCGCTGTGCATTCGTATTTACACTACCCTCAACAAATTGATCTAGATTTCTGACTGTACCGTAGAAAAATGATATAGGGTGATGGAGGCCATATGGCATATTGCCCAGAAGACCGAGTCACTTTGAAAGAGACTTTGGGGCGTTATTAAGTTCACTTTTTGCATTACGTTTGGTCCGAAATAGTTTCTGGCCATTATGAGCCTCTTTGCGCAGTCAAGAATTTCGATTTTTTAAGTAAAAAATAAATGAAGTGTAAATGCATATTCAAGTAGTACAATGCTTATCAATCGCCTCTTTTTGATCCAAAATATTCGATTCCCTTGTCTTTTAAGATCTATTAAGCCGATTAATATGATTTGAGTTCAAGTGAGCTTTTTTTCATTTTTTAGCAATCAAAATCGTGAACTATTTGACGGGCCTGGATGTAAAAGGACGTCCTTCCCAGGGGAATCGGGGAAGGATAGAGGGACAGATCAATCCACCCCTTCTTGATTTCTATATCCAACTTTGAAGTAGCACAGAATTCTATTCTATTGTTTTCCTTGCGTTTGAGGTTAAGAAAGAACGGGCATGAAAATAATTTTGGCACATTGCATTTCAATGGGGTGGTAAGCGACTCACATAGTTGAATTACAACTTTGAAGCTCCCTCGTAATGGTATAAGACAATCGACCTGTAATAGTTGAATTAGCAAACCTGAATAAAAGTCATTTCGGCAAATGCAATCTTCTTTATGCACACGAAAAGACTATACGTTCCATGCTCACATTTACGAGGAAGCAATGAAACTTAATTGCAGAAATCATGCGCCATCGCCCTCTTTAAGTCTCCGTAATGGGCTTGGTTATTAGTACAATGTAGATTGGTATGTGCACATGTCTTGGGGAAAAAGAAAAATACGTAAGACGTGTATTATTTCTGCACATGAGGGGGTTATTTTCTGCCAAATATAGTTTATTGACGTTCGTTTTTAGGGTTGTTCTTATGCGTTTTCTAGGCTAATTGATGTCATTGATAAAGAACGAAAGGCAGAAAGAAAAAATTACCACGCCCCTGCAGGAAAAAAGAATCAGAGTCTAATATTAAATCCCTATACTTTTATTAAACAATGCAGACTTAACTGCTTATTTCTGAAACAATGTCCAGAATGTCTTGAAGAACATGACTTGCAGCACGCAAATGAAATAGGCCAGCTCATGTACATTGTAGGCCTATATATATTGTACATGTGATTTTTTCAAACAGAAAGAAGAAAAGGATATCTAGTTGCAAATTTTGCCGAAGATATTTCATTTGCAAAAATTGACAACTTTGCACTTATAGATATACAGATTGAATTTTTATATTTAGAATTCGTGCAGACCTACATCGATTTTATCGTTAAAACAGTACACATTCGCAGAACCCATTAAACCTGGTCATGTGACCCGTCTGTGAGTGACGTCCGGCCCGACTTTTTCTGGGTCAAATTAGATTCATACGCAATATCATTTTATTCTCATTCTGCACAAAAACTGTCCTCGAACCTCTTTAAGTAACTCAGAATAAGACAAACTGTATGAGGTTACAAACTGAAGCAGGGTGCATTTTCTTGAAGCTATAAAAATATATAATATGTGGATTTCTTTCTTCGCGGAAAGAAATGTACAAACTGTAAACAACCTATCGGGACAGTACCGAAAGGCATAGGAATTTGATTTTATTTTGAAGTGTATTTATAATACTACATTACTCAATATTTACCGGAAACGTAATGGGAAATATTTTCATGTAAACCCACTATAGGATTGTATGTGCAGACTTACTGTATATCAGAACTGAAGAGCAGGCAGAGGGATTAATTTACGGACACCATTATGTAGCTCGGACTAGAATGGCTCCTTTAGTAAGGGGAAAGGAGCTGCCTTCTTTCTTCTTTCTTAATTTATTAATTTGAAGTTTGTTTAAGAACACCACAAAGGATAATAAAAATGGCAACTGGAGCTAGGTAAGACGCCACTTTGTTTATCACCTCTTATTATATACGGAACTCTATGAATAATACTGGGATGAACTTGAACTGGGCCCCTCTCTTCTTAGGTGGAAACATTTTGACATAACTGTCAGTCCAAAAACTTTTATGTATGCATTTGTTAACATCTTTATCGGTAATGAGCAAACATTGCACGTGAATGACTGAAATTTGTTACATGCATTGAACAACAAATGTACTCTTACTCCTAGCTTTGGGATAATATGTTATTTCACTTTTGAGTTTTGAAGTTAAGAGATGTCCCAGTTTGAGATTCAAAAAACAGTTGCTTCTAAGACAAGCATATTTTATTCTATTGTGAATCAACATGTGATTATTTTGTTTATAATTACTTATTACATTAAAAACTATATGACAAATATTTCAGAAGAGGTGAATGTATGCACAACTTTCCAAAGGGACAAAATATATTCTGGCTGAATCTAGCTGCCATTTTGAATGACCTTATTTATGATTATGTAGTCTACATGGATTTATTTAACACTGTCATTGGTATGCCAATTCTTAAAGAAAGGGTAAAGTCCCAAGTTATGACTTGCTGATGACATTGTGCTCTTGGGATTTTTACCTCACTCTTGTTTGTCAAATTAAATGGTCTCTTCACTGTAATCAGAAATAGGTCACAACCATATATAGAGTGTGTCTGTATTTTTTTCTTGTTTGCCTACATGAATGAAAAACATTGTTTGTATGGGATGATTGGATGTTTTTGGCATCACGTTTTAAATAGCAGATATGTTCTAACCAAAAAAATTGAACTCTCAGCTCTGATTTAATGCATTTTCTTAGTTATTGCAATGCACTAAATCTAAATACTTGTATTGTCTGGATTCTCTGAGGTAAAGGATAAAAGTCAACATAACTTGTTTATTTTCATGCTTGTTATGTATCTACCATTAACCCAGTTGCCCCAGGATATAGCAAGAAGAAATAAGTTGACAACTTGATCATATGTTGGCCACAGCCAATTACTTTCTAATGATAATGTTCTCTCCATCTTTCAGGTATTCTTCAGCTGGTAAAATATGAGTTGGCTGTCCATTAATTTGATCAGGTTTAGATGTTTTGTCAAATGGTTATGATTATCAGTTGTTTCCAGTAGGATTATTGAGGTCATTAACACTGATAGCTTTCTTAAGATGTTTGATTAGGGTTTGCTGATATCCTAAATGGTTTTTTTTTCAGGCCAAGGGGGTTTGGGGGGGGGGGGTTAAAACAAAACTGCCTTTTCTGTCGGAAAAAGATTCACTCTGGGCAAAATTTGATCTTGGCACACAGGGGTTTCATGGTGAAAGGTTGTCTTAAAAAAAAAAAGACCCCTCTCCGTTGAAATCACTGGCTGTGGTCCCGTGTTTATCTCTGGTTGGGTCTATTGTCAAGGTCATCTTCATGAAAGAAGATAACCAAAATCTCCACCAAAACCATGCATTTTCACTATCTGGGAGAGGATGGGGTGGGGATTAGTATCAAAGATGAACAACCAATGCATTGAGAGATGAGCACTGTTTGAATTTTTCTCTGGATTTTAGATAAAGTTATGATAATTTCAGTATCATGTGGTGTTATAATATAGGACAAATGGACCCTATCACAACATGCATTATACTTGATCTTTTTTCAATTTAAGATGTGCTTGGCAGCCAGTTATATTCTCCTTGCTGTGAACCATTTTTGTCTCTTGAAGAAATCAGTGTCATATCAGGAACAGTGCTTTAAGCTTAACAAACATACTAACTAGTTATTTTGAACAGAATTTACATTGATGATCTGACAGAATCTGCGGTTTTATAGTCATTGTAAATGGTTCTAAGTTCTCCATGGAATGTGTTTTAATGGTTGATTTAAATGCTTTCTGTGTAAAGTAGCTGGGATTTCCTTGTTTGGGTGAGCTCTAGTTCTTCACGCATCCAAGGTTTACGTGTCTGTAATGCTGCATTACTCGACCAGCGATTAATAAAACATAATGTAGGGACAAAACTGTCACCAAGGTATACCTCATGTTGTTATTTGCTGAAGGTGGTTGCGTATTTTAATGAGTTAAGAAATGGCATAACATACGCACATCATTTCTGAAAATGTTCGCATTGATGTCCCGATGCCTAAGCAATTTGGTTTGTTATCATTGTATGACGTTGGTGACGTCATTTGAGGGAGATCTAGGTGATATTTAGTTTAGATAAGTGACATGGTAGTGTGACGCTTGACATTTACTATCTTATGAGTTATTCCTTAAATGAAATTGCATCCCCCCCCCCCCCCCAACTACTTAAAATGGAAAATAGTGGCAGTTAATAATTTTTAAATTTTTGCTAAAGACTCATATTTGGTCAAGAATGTTCATGAGTTTGGTAGATAGAGCATATGTAATAATTATTTAGCAAAAGCTGAAAATATTTCATACCGTTAGCTTGTGTCAGACCTGGACATAATCCTGCATCAAGACTGACGTGAGCCTATGTCCAGGTTGGCCACACGCTAGTAGTATATAATTATTTTCAGCTTATATTTAATAATCATCATATGTGACTGGTATTTGGTGTTTTCATCCACTACCTCCCATTCCCACACTTATTGCTGATTTAGCATCTCTTGATCTTCAACATCATTTTTGTTGTTTTGTCCACATTCATGTGCATCTCATTTTGGATAGCATGTCTAGTTGAATGAAGCTCAGTAGCAATTTTAGCCATCACATGTATATATTTGAAAATACCTCTGGGACATCTTAAAAAACTCTGGATTACCTGTCCTTTATACAAAACAGACCATGGCATCATCTGAGCAGTCATGATCTTAAATAGTGTATGAGTTAAAAGAAATCAAAAGATGTAGTACATCAACTAAATGTGAGGTTGAAGGTAAAAATATTTTCATGATATCATTTTTGTCATGTTTGTGGATGCTGTAATCAGTCATGCAATCATGATATTGGAAGTGATTGTAATACTGGATAGGTTAGTCATCCCATCGTATTTTACATAAGTAAAGATTTTAAAATCTATTAACTGGACTAACAGTTTAGTTTGCAACATTGGGTCTTCCACACAGAGACTTAATTCAGTCTCTAGAGAACACAGGTGGAGCAGTTCTCATTCTAGTAAACATAGTCATGCAATGTCATCATCTGGGCCAAATTGTAAGGGTCTACTGTCCAGTAATAGATTTTTAAAAAATCTTTATTTATGAGGAGTGTTTGTAATTTATGAGTTAATATCCTGTAGAATAATTACTTGGTGGTGTTCAGGCGATTAACAGCACTATAATCTGAGATAAAGAAAGAAAAAAAAATATGATGCATGAATAGCATGTTTTATTTTGTCTTTTAGTGTGACTTCTATCTTATTTGGTGGACTGTAGTTTGTAAATAATGAGGCATCTGCTGCAAATATGCTTACTCAGAGCTATAGCATATTTATACTAAGCAACATATTGTCACAAGGCCATTTACAATGTCATCATTTATACATTTACCTTTGAACTGTATTTGTTTTGGTAGTGAATTGATGTTATCTTTCAGTCAAAGATAGTCTATTGAAGCCTGATATAGCATATAGTTTTGATACACACGCTAAGCTGTCTTTTTTGATGTAAATATTGATAGATTAACTTAGTGTGAGACATTAAATGATATTATGAGAAGTGCATTTTGACAAGTAGTTGTTTTGCCTATAATGTAAACAGCCAGAAAGCTTTGAGCTCAAGCTGTTTTGAAAGGATCAAATTTAACTTGACAAGTTTGCCATGAGAACTTTTTGAATCAAGATAATGCTTTAGTGTTAAATAAGGTGAATTTTTAACTTGATGACTTAAAGGGATAACAACTCTTCATATCAGATTTTAAGGGACCATTTCCAGACCCTGTTGTACTGTGGATAGATCTATCTGCAAGGGGATTCTTGCTGAATTGCAATCAATTTAAGTCGCTTAGATGACTGTCATGTCTACTGAAGCTGCAAGGGGGTAATTAATTATCGTTTAGCAGCTTCAGTAGGCGTGCCAGACATCTAAGCTGCTTTTAAGCTGAAAGCAATTTAGTGAGAATCCCCTAGAGATGGATCTATCCTGTTAGATCTATATAGGTATGAGAACCAAGTCTAAATTTCCACAATAAATGCATTGTAAGCAACAAATTGAAATATAATAAATTCCATTTTACCACCAAAACAGCGGTTATCATAATAATTCTAGATTCTGTGCTTGCCTTTGGACCATGTGGACTGTCATAAATGGCCACACTTAAAAAAAAAAAAAAAATGACTACTTTTGAATGTTGGAACGGATTCATTTACCATTGGAAGGTAGGGGAAAATTGATGTTTACCCCAGGAAAATACATTTTATGGCACTTTTCACGCCAAAATGAAGAGTTGTCATCCTTTTAAGTTACTCTTTAAGAACACAATGCTACTTTTATTACATTTTTGTGGTGACTTAACTGGTGTCTGTTTCAGTTAAATATAGAAGTAGGAAATTGTTAATTGAACTGCCAGCTTTACAGAGCTGGAGGCACTGGGTTTTTCTAGAAACCAGTTGCATTCTTATCTGCCAGGATTGTAAGGCATTTTACTATTTAATGTCTTTGGATTGGCATCGAAGTTAAATCCTATTTTGAAGAAAATTCTGATTGATAACCAAAATTTTTTCCCATTGCATTGTGCTTGAAAAGTTAATTTTCACAAACTTGGAATACTTATGTTAGAAATGGACTTTTCTATAACCTGCTTAATTTTAGTGTCAATCAGTTCATTTGAATCAAAGATTCAGTTTCTGTTCCATGTCCAAAAAAAGAAAAGAAAAATGTATGTATTTTGGGCATATATTAACCTTGCTTTGTTTCATAATCCAAATGTTTCCAAATGCATCCCAGTACTAGCACATATGTAGCTGGTGGTATGTGTTCTGTAGGTAGCCCTTGCCTCTCTTTTCCTCTAGGGATTTCAGCATGAGAATAAATCC